AAAAAAAAAAAAAAAAAAAAAAGACTTGAGCCAGGGATTTAGCTCAGTGGCGCCACACTTGACTTGCAGCCAGGCACAAGGTCCTGAGTTCTATTGCCAGTACCATAAATAACTTTTATTTTGGTCTGTTTAGGAAGGCGACATGCCAATTCATGAACTTCTCAGCCTCTATGGTTACAATAGCACTGTTCGACTACCCGAAGAAGATGAGGAAGAGGAGGAGGAGGAGGAGGAAGGTGAAGATGATGAAGACGCTGATAATGACGACAACAGTGGCTGCAGCGGGGAAAATAAAGTAAGGTTATAGATATGGACAGTAGTTCACCCTCTGTCCACGGAGCATACATGAAGGGTAGTCAGAGTAGATGAATATTTGAATTTTTAAAATTTTAGCCAGGCATGGTGGGGCACACCTGTAATCCCAGAGTTCAGGAGACTGAGGCAGAAGGATCACCACAAGTATGAGGCCAGCAAGAGTTACATAGGGAGACCCTGTCCTAAATACGTAACTAAATAAAATTTCTTGCCGTAAATGACATTGCCATTATTCCTCTTCAAGGCACTCCTCCTTACTTTGAACATATTCCATCATTGTTACCATTTTCTGAGAAGTCTTTTTTTGGAGTTTTGTTGGTACTGGGAATGGAACTCAGGATCTTGTGCTTGCAGGAAGGCATGGCACTGCTGACTGCATCCCCAGCATTTTTTTTTTCTAAGAGTGGAAAGGGTTTGGCTTACAGTTTATAGAGGTTTCCGTCCATAATTGGCTTGCTCAAAGGCAGAGATGGCAAACAGGCTTTGCACGGGAGAAACGACATTGTTGCCACTTTGTGAAGCAGCTATAGAAGTCCTGTTTCCTGAGTCTCTCTTTGCAAGATGTGATCAGAAGTACAGTGAGTGCTGCTGCTGAGCGCCCTGTATGAAAGGCAGGCTTGTGACACATGTCCTTGTCCATCTTACTCACTGGGTCTGGTGCCATAAACTTCCAGCTCTTCCCAGTGTCAGAGTGACCAGGAAAGGGAAATGATTTGATTCAGTGCAGCCATAACAGCTCAACTAAATACATTCAGGAAGGAGAACTAGATGTGCTTCAGAAAGTGACAGGAACGATGGGGTAAGTGTGTTCCAACGAGGGGGGACTAGTTTGAGGGGAATTAATTGAAAAGTGTCTTACTGTAAGGAATTTTTTTAAAAAACTTAAATATGTACTGTAGGTTTCTGCCAAGACCTGTAGTGGATGACTGAAATCACAGATAGTGCCAGACCCTGGATATAAATACAATAAGAGATTAAATGTTAAAAATTAAGGTACTACAGAAATATGTAAACATTGGAAATCCCCTGTGATCCATTTCTGAGAGGCAAGATTTTGGCCTGTGTCATTCCAGATTTCTTCTCAGTGTTTTCTGAGTAGTTTATAACAGCATTTTTTAAAATGCTATTGACGGGCTGGGGATTTAGCTCTGTGGTGCTGCCACTGCCTCGCAAGCAAAAGGACCCAAGTACACTCCCCAGTACCAAAAAAAATAAATAAATAAAATAAAATGCTATTGCCTTGAAACTGTAAGGTCTAATTGGCAGTTCTGTATTCATTTTTTTCTTTATTTTGAAATGGTTTTAGATGTGAGAAGAGTTTCAGAGTTGGTATAGAAAGTTCCTGTATTTTCTTCACTCATTTTCCCTCAGTGTTAACAGCCTGTGTGACAATGGTATCTTTATCAGCACTAACACAATCCTATTAACTGAACTGTTTGGGCTTCACCAGTTTTTCCACCAGTGTCCTTTTTCCTATCCAAGAGCCAACACAGAGCACTACGTTGCATTCCATTTAGTCTTACAGGTACAGTAAAACAGAATGTGAACATGCCTTGAATAAATGTAATTTGCTGTCCTGTAGGAAGAAAATATAAAGGACTCATCAGGTCAGGAGGATGAAACTCAGTCTTCCAATGATGACCCGTCACAATCTGTTGCTTCTCAAGACGCCCAGGAAACCATCCGCCCACGTCGCTGTAAATATTTTGATACAAGTAAGTGTCATTGCTCTAGTTAGAATCTAAATTTTACTGTTTATATGTTGCCTAAAATTCTCATTCATCACTGCTTTTTAAATTCATTTGCTGTGCAGTCTCTTTCAAAAGTAAATGGATTTCTTAGTAGGTTATTCGTTTAGCAGCACGAAGGCCTGGCGTTCTGTGAACACCGTGCAGTGATTACTGGGCCATCCACTCCCTGGCTCTGGGTGTGCTTTTCACTTCAAGTAGTCTTTCAGTTCTCATTATCTGCTTTGCTTTGCCCTTGTCCTTTCCTGTGGTTCGGTCAGGCTCATTTAACAGTGGCATGCTGTATGACATACATTGTTCAGCAATTTCTTAGTTGTGTGAATACCCTAGAACAGTGGTGGTGAACCTGCGGCACACGTGTTTTTCTTTTAAGGCAAGAGATGCTTTTATGGAGTTGTTTTTTTCTAGACTAAAACCTCACTATTTCTAATGGCAGTGTTGTCACTTTGCAATAATAAGTGGGTTTTGGGTTACTGTTTGGCACTTGAGCTCTAAAAGGTTCGCCATCACTGTCCTAGAATATACGTGCACAAACTCAGGGCTGCACCATCGCCAGGTGACATCATTGTCCAGGACCCCACTGTATGGTGCCATGTGGCATAGACTGAGGTAGAATTGCACGGTGCATGACTGCACTCGAGAGCATGGCTGTCTGCAGCCCGCAGCTCTCGGTCTGAAGTAGTCATTGATTGCTGAGGTGGGCGTTGGTACTTGCACGCTCGCTTGCTCTGTCTGCTGTTCATTCTGAGTCCCAGTTACTACTCTAAGAGATGGCTGTGGCATAAGAACAGGTGGCTCTCAGTACTATTAGATTTGTAGTCTAAGTTTCTGTACTTGAAAAGGAAAAGCACTTGAGAAGTAACCTCTTACGAGATGTACTAAGGTAATCACTGTTTAAACGTGGCTGGTGCTTTGAGAGTGAGTGATTATTATAGATTTAGGTGGGAAGTGAATGTCAATTTGCTGGTTATATGTTTTTATATAAGAAGAACTGTGAGTTTTGAGCAAAGATCCAGTTCAAGAAAAGATGTGTTAATGCAAGGAAAGGTTCATTACTGAAATAATTGTGTTAATTTTGATTGTAGAAAGTGTACTGTGTTCTACCCTTCAGCTAAACAAAGAACAATTCCACTGCCAAAGTTTGCTAAGAAGAGGGATACAGAGTGTATGCCCTGCCTTTGGGAGCAGTACACGTTTCATGCTTCTGATCTGGTGTTTCTCTCGTGTCGTGTTCATGTAAACTGTACATGGACCTTCTAGCCTAGCTTTTCCATACAAGACTTGCATGTATGGTTAATTGCCATATACAGTGACTCTGTGCGCTGTCTTAACATTTGTGAAGCTGCCGACAATCTAATAGTTTTCATAATTCCTACCCCTTCATTTTAATACATTTTTATTTGAAGTGTAAAAAGCAGCAGCCCCTCTGAAGAAAATGGAGGTTGTAGAGAGTCACAGTCTTCTGAGCATCATCCTCCATGTTCCGCGCTTGCCCAAAGTGGTGTAAAGCAGTCCTAGTGTTCGGGGAGCGCTGTTTGGAAAGCAAACCCTCACAAGTTGCATGAATTGAGATTGTATGACTTAACTGCACCAGGCTCTTGGTACCAGAGTAAGAAGTAGAAATAGATCGTCTTGACTCCACATTTCCCTGGTTTTTATAGGAAATCATGTCCTGAGAAAACAGTTGTTCTGGGTTCATGATTTTTTTTTTTTTTTTTTTTTTTTTTTTTTTTTTT